ATCTGAGCTGGGAGAAGAATGTATTTGTATTATATGCAGAAAGTAGTGAAATACAGCTAAATACTGTAGTTATAGGCATCTGTAGCATATAGGCATTTTGAAAGGAAGGTTGCATATGGGACCACAGGGAAGTTCTGTTCCCTCTCATTGAAAATCCCTTGACTTAGAATCACTCAAAACCTTGTTAACGTTCTAGTAATTTCTTTCTTAGAAGAAATATTTTGTCATATTTGTAGCAACATTAATTTTTTTGTGCAGGGAGAGATTATACTTGAGTTGGGAATTTGAAATAAAATCCCTTCAAAAAGCAATGAACACATGAATGGACATGAATCTAGTATTTGCATACAGGTGTAGTATTAAAAGAAAATAAGCTCACCACTCAGGAATTCCTGTCTTAGCCAAATTAACCAGGATCAGCAAAACAAACGCACAGCTGGAAATGCTTCTCTGACAGCTGCATGCAACATGCTCTTCAGCAACATATCTACTTTTCTTAGAGCATGTGAAAAATCTAGGGAAGAGAGAAGAAATCAGTTGTATACATGAGCTTTAATTGAACAGATATTATTTGCTAATTAAGGAATTTACAGAGAGCTGCAAGTGGGACTTGAACTGGATTTCCCAGCATCCCCAGGTGACTGTTCTGCCAGTTGGGAAGCTCTGCAAGCACTGAAGTATTTTTCGCTTGCAATTTTTTACAGAATACTTATTGGGTCTTTTTCTCAGTTAGAGGAAAAGCTTTCCAAACTAGTGCATGCTCTGCAGTTAGATATTGGCCAGACATTTTGCATGATGGGAATGGTTTGTGAGCCATCATGGAGTTGCCTCTTAAAATACTGGCTAAATGATTTACCAATAGCTTCTGCATGATCTCATGGAAAATAGTTTTACTCCTATTCTGAAGGAGGTGCAAAAATGTAAAGTGAATTTTATCCATCTTCGTTTTACTTACCTTTTACTCATCTTCAAAGAATTGTGCAGTGCTTGACCATGGAAATGTATCCTTCCAAATAAACAAATTTAGTGTGGAGTATAACACTTGCTGCCCAGGATCAAGCTGTCAGGCCACCGTCTTGAACATCATGTGCCAGAAAGATTTTGATGGTTAATTCTTCAGAAAACATGCTCCTTCTCTATCTAACTGATACCTACCTCTCTGGGCAGTACACGGGTGGCAAGCAGAATCCTCTCTGGACACCAACAATCAGCCTGGAATTATAGTTAGTTTTTTCAGGGTATCTTTTTGATGTAAAATAACTCTAAGTATATCTGACACTGTGCCTAGAACAGATCCTTAGTCCCTTTTTGTCTGCTCTGCGTTGAGGCTGAGCAGCTGTAAACAGCCAAAGAAATCCCTAGATGGCACAGCATCTTCATGTCTGTAAGCATTCTTGGGGCACAGGCAGAGACGCATTCTGTCCCTGGCTATCAAAACAGCCCTTTGAGCTGTGGGCAGGCAGTCATTACCTGAAGCCACAGTGGGGCACCTCTGAATTAGGGCAGGAGCCTGTCCTAGACCTGGCATGGTCCTAGGAACAAAGAGATGCAGAGCGCCTTAACATCACTTCTACCCATGTGGTGCCAGACTCTGTCCAAGCTGATGGACACACCCTTCAGTGTGTTTGACCTTTTTTTTTTTTTTTTGGCTACCCAATAGCAGCAAGATTCTTCCTAAATATCCCTCCTTTCAAACTTTGACGAAGGTTCCTGTGCTTTGAAATTAAACAACATAAAAGGGAGATCCTGCTAAATATGTGTCATCTTTATTTTAATGTTTCCATGTCCTTCCCTAAATCTCCCCCATTCCTGGTGCCAGCATTTTAGCTGTGACACATGAGATGTATCACACTTCCAGCTGCACCAGCAAGGCAAGAAAGTGCAGCATATGGGGAGTAGGAGTATGACACTCCTGTGGGGAGTAGGAGTGTCCTAACTATCTTCCACAGGAACTGTTCACCATATAACCTTCTCTTGAACTGCCGCCCTGGCCTTTTTCTTGCTAACTAGCTCGCAGTCAACACCTGGGGTCTCTGTGCTTCTAGTGCCTTTAAATGAGCTCATATCCTCAATCCAAGAGCATTTCTCCTTTCCTTCATGTAGTATGATAGCTTTTGCAACCCACAGCCAATTGGTTCCAAACTCTCCCAGCATCTCCTCAGCATCAGCAGATGGAAAGGCAGCAATTTTTCACAGAGACACTTGGAAAAGCAGAACGGGGAAGTTGGGACTGAGAACACATGGAGTCTGTCGCATCTGTTTAGCACATGCTTCAAGGCAGCTAACTATAGTTCAAAGAGCTGATAATGGCAGCCAATAACCCTTTCCAGCACTGGAGCTACAGCTCTGCCTGTTGCAGTACAAAACATGGATGCGCTAAGCAGTTCATCTCTCAGACGGGGAAAAAGTACAAATGGTGGATCTGGAAGAGGAAAAGGAGGGCAAAGAAGCACACTGGTAATCCCTGGTATGAGGAAAAGGAATAGGGAACCCTAGAAGAGCAGAGAATATAACTCTATGCAGCTTTTATGCTTGGATTTTGAAAGAGGAGAACAAGGAGCAGAACTGTGGAAGGAGGCTGTCTAGAATACAGCAGGGGGAAGGACAGCATACAGGGAACTTGGAGACAGCAAAGGAAAAAGGCAAAAGTTCCTTGTGGTGCCAGGACCTTCTGCTACTCTACTGAAAAAGTGTATGACCCTAAGCTTATTACTTGTTCTGAGACCTCATCCTATTCTGTCTTCTAATGATGAAGACTATTTTTCTTTCTAATGATGAAGGCTCTTAAGACTATTTTGATGGGGAGGGGGGAGGTATGTTTCAGAAGAAGCTTCCTTTAATGACAATAAGCTTGTGTCCAAGTCCAGCAATCTGAGTGCGTGGTTGCATGCCAGGATGTCAGCTAGCTCTTGTTTCTCACGTACTCTCGTGTTATATGACAGACAGTGTCATCTGCTAAAAAGGATTACTGCAAAATGTGTCTTGCAGTGAGGGATCTTGTGTTTATTTGCGAGGAGAAAGCAGTCTGTAGTTGGTAAGCTTGTCTTCATTGCAGGAGCAAAACCATTTTTGTGGTGGCTGCATCTGGAGATAGAAGGTAAATTTCTGGATGCCATTGGGGACTCCCAAGTTTTCAACTTAGACCTTTGTTTCTCATACTCTAGTGGGGAGGCAAGAAAGTCTAGAAGCTTCTTAGGCTCAGCCTGCTTAAAATAACAGTTGAAAAAAATAAGATTAAAAATAATTTTAAACACAATGTTTTAAAGACAATTCAGAAGCAGTTGAAGATTTTGGATAATTCTGTTTCTTAGGAGTCCAAGTCAAGATCTTACAAAGGGAGCCAGTTTTTTGAGGAGGGGTGCTCAGCCTTTTCAGGAAACCATGCCCTTTTAAACTGTCACCTCAGTTACACTCAGACTATGTTTGGTCCTTTGTAAGAGGATGTGGAACCATCAGAGTGAATGAAGTTGCAGTAGCTTGTGTGCCATACAAATTATACTTGATGAGCAGGAATATCCCTGCAAAATGAACTGGATGTTCTTGTTGTTATTTTTTTTTTCCCCAAACTCATAAACAGAAGTGGTCCTACACATTCCATTCTAATGAATAATTTCCCCCTTATTAAACACACTAAAGAATGTCGTACTTTTAATAGTAAGAAAACTTGTCTCCTGCATGTGGAGGTTGCTGTATGACTTCCTGCCCTTATCTTAAATAGAGGGGCAAAAGGCAGGTGACAATACTTCTTTCAACCCATGCTGTTGATTGTATCATTGAGGAGACACTGATACCAGGGTTAGCCATTTCTTTGAAGCGGACTTTTTAGCCCCACATTCTAACTCTTTTGACATAGAAAGATGAAAATTTAGCAGTTGTATCACGATCACTATGCGCATCAACTCTTTCAGGCAGTTATTGTGACATAAAAGCCTTGTTTCTCTTCTCTCAAGGAATGTTTCAAACCCTTCCAAGAACCACTAACCCATCAGGAAGAAAGGATGCAGTTCCATCCTGGTCTGTTTTGTTGAATTCATGCATGGAAGGGTCCACTAAGTACCCAAAGCTGATGCAAAGGAGGTGGTGGGACACGTAGCCTGGATGAGTGAATGTGGGGAGAGAGGAGCTGGATCATAGCAGGAGGGAACAGGGTATGAGAGTGGTGGTAACGTGAGATTGCTTCAGCTGCTTGTGGAATTGCAGCCTGGCATCTTAGGACTTCGCAGCCTTGCTGTAGTTTTCCCTGTCTGTCCTAGAGCTTCCCTCTCTCCTCTGCGTGTAGCTTCTGCTTGTTTCTATCCTCCTGTTTACCTCTGCCAAGGCAAAATCTACATGTATTTACCAACACAGACTTTAGGATAGTAGGAAAGATCCTGCATTCACACACACACCCTTGCTTAATGCAGTGGTTGATCCTATTACTAAGATTTTGCAAAAATAATGAAAGATTTTGTAGGCTTCTATTTGCATTGCCTAGATCTTTTCAAAGGAATTCATAATTCTTGTAATTAGTGTTGTCTTCTTTCAGAGAAGTGAGCTGCTTGAGCTAAAATCACGTTTCCTTTTCATAGTTTTGGGTTAAAAGGCAAAAGAGTGTATTTTGTTGAGTTTTACTACCTAGTGCCTTTTTGATTACAGGTGACACAAGGGTAACACTTCCTGTCTGCTGAGGATTAGTACGACTTATGCAAATCTTAAAGTATGGACATCCTGTTTGAATGAAGTTAACTGGCATGTAGGTCTGTTGTTGATTTTGCAGCTTGAATGTAACCTCAGCCTTGACTCTTTAAGCAATGTGGAAGTTATGTGAGACTAGAATAATTCAGAGCTACGAGGAATCTTTGAATACTAAATTAATTTCAATGTGATCACATGTCTCGCCATTTTGACCTGGAGTATATGTTGACAAAGCACTGATTGAAAACCTTTCTACACCTTTTTGCTCCTGGTGTCATCTGGTTTATTGCATGAGAGTACACATATATCTCTGTTTATCTTTACAGAAAGTTTTGACAGGGGTAGATGATCTGCAGCGAGTGAAGGCCCTAGAGATGCAAGTAGATACAAGAGAGAACAGCTTGGGAAACTTTGGTAAGAAAACACTTTATCTTCTGCTCACCATCTCAAATTTTCCTTTATGATGTCTTGAAGCAGGACTGGGGACTCAGAAACCAACAGCCAGTATAAACTACTGTCCTGCTCAAGAGCTCTTGAAACATGATCTTCCTGGTACCTCTCACTCCTTGATCTCTGTTTTCTTCTGTGAGGCTCTAAATAGGACTGGAAACTGTGGCAATGGGATGAGTGACACCACTTCTGTCTAAAGCCAATTAGTCTGAACAAATTCCTCTTGAATGACATGCCTCTAGGCCCTAAATGAGCATTTACTGATTATCTTGCCCTCTAGAGTACTTGGAGCTACTCTAGTGAAAGAGTAGCCAAAGTTCAGTTTCTCTCCACTGTAAGATTCCCCTGTGGCTGAGAAATCGCTAGTGGTATCAGGCTGCTCATGCTGCCAGCAGCCTGTCTTTGCATCCTGTGCTGCTTCATCAAGATGTGCTGGATGATGTGCTTGAGGAAGGTCCTATAGATAGGTCATTTTAATGAGCCCCAAATGGCCCTAATGCTTGTGATTAATTTCTATGTCATCATCGCTGCACTGGGGAAGTAAGGAAGTACCAAAGGAAATCCCTCTGTAGCAGAGTTAACACTGAGAATATGAAACCTTCCTTATTTCCAGTACTGGCAGTCATTTTCTGTGGTGTGGATTCCCATCACTACCAAGTCCATCTTCTGCTATGTTGAAGCTGAGTAACTACTGCAGGATAATACTTTCTGTGCCAAAAGGAGTCACGTCCCCAGAAGTGGGTGCTGGTATTTTCAACCAAGCAGTTCATTTTCATGTGCAAATGACTATAATGTAACAGCCAATTAGCTTTAGTGGGTCTTTTGATATTGATTTGTCGAGAATGGTTAAGCAAGTACAGTGAAGGGGGATTTTGTCTTGAATTATATAGCCACTTTTTATTGGTTATTCTGTTTATTTTGTAAATAGGTCTCTTTCTGATAGGAACTTGGTAATTTAAGGTACATTACATCCATTTCTTTCAGAGATCATAATCTATTCAGTCATGTTTCCTCCAGTTGATAAGAAAATCTCATTATGCCATTTCTACAATGCTCGAAGTGGTGCTCCCATTCCTATGCCATTTCACATTAGCTGTGACAAGCTAGAAAAATGTTTCACCTTTTTCACTCTGTACTTCCCTTTCCTTTCCATTACTGGAATAAATCCCTGTCTTTATGCTCCCCATGGTTAGGCTTTTGCAACTTTTACAGAATACAGAACACTATTCCCATGTTGCAAACAATTTCCATCTTGTTTATGGCCCACTGTTTGCACCAAGAGTTATTTTGAGAATAACAGAACACCAAGACCATCCTGAATTTCCTTCTGTCCTTTTTTATTAAAGTGCATTTCTGAATTTCCTCCCTGTGAAAATGTCTTTGCAAATGTCAGCAGGTGGCTAGGGCAGAAAGTTTGCCACTTAATGCTTTCCAGTGATCATCAGTTCCTTACATTTTTTTTCGTATAACAGCTGATTTTTAGGCACATGGAGTAAGGCCTACATTTTTAGGAGTATTGCAGGGTAGTTTGCACCTTCAATGTGAACGGTGTAACCAAGGCTGCTGTTGAAGTTGTTGGGCTAATTGCATGCTCCTCTCTGGCTGCCTGCCCCTGAAACTGCGCTGCTGACCTGGTCTCTAGTCACAGGGATCTGGATAAATACCCTGAGGAAAGGAGTAGGGTAAGAACCAGACCAGCTGGAATGACAGAAGTTCCAGTGTGACAGAAGGAAAAGCTTTTCCACCATTAGGACAGTTGAGCAATAGGGCTATCCAGAGAGGTTTGGAGTCTCCATCCTTGGAGGTTTTCAAGACCCAGCTGGGTAGAGCCCTGAGCACCCTGGTCTGGTCTCACAGAAGACCTGGCTCTGAGCAGGAGGCTAGGCTAGAGATCTCCAGCTGTCCCCTTCAGCCTGGACCTCGCTGCCATTTGGTGTTTCTGTTTGCATTCCAAACCTGGCTACTTAGCTTTCTTTATAGCCATATTAAATCACATAACCTTGCTCTCACTGTATTCCTCAGTTGCAGAACGTGGGTAAGAGCATCTTTATCATCAACTGATTATTTGTTTGGATGATCAGTTCACACTCAGCAAACAATATTGTTTTAACTGTTTTTATGTGTAAGGATAAAATAGGCCGTGCAAGCTCTTAAATGGCCAGGTAAAACAGTTGAAAGCTACTAGACTGCACATGACTCCGGGTCACCTGGAACCTTGCAGCACTTGAATCCCAAATTTACACCACAATTTCTACTTGAGAAACGTTTCAATGTTCACAGCCATACACAGACTGTAACACAAGCACTGAGGGCCTACATCTCCTTTAGCAAGATTTCCAGAGCGATTTAAAACATGTTGCTTGAGTTGTTCTTATGAGCATTCCACTTTGGGATGTGCTAAACTTTAAAGCGCCATCCTGCTAAGCTTTCCCAGTTTGTCAGGTCAGCCTCTACGCAACAGCATGACATGATAGGAAGGAACAGTTACATTTCTTAGCGACAGGGTGTGGGCTAAAACATGAAAAGACCAACATTAAAATACTGTCATGTGATCAGTTTTAAAATTAAGGAAAGTCATAGAATCATAGAATGCTTTGGGTTGGAAGGGACCTTTAGAGGTTATATAGCCCAACCCCCCGGCCGTGAGCAGGGACAGCTTTAACCAGATCAGGTTGCTCAGAGCCCCATCCAACCTGACCTGGAATGTTGCCAGGGATGGGGCCTCCACTGCCTCTCTGGGCAACCTGTTCCAGTGCTTCACCACCCTCATTGTAAAACATTTCTTCCTTATGTCTAGTCTAAATCTATTCTTCTTTAGTTTAAAACCATTACTCCTTGTCCTGTCACAACAGGCCTTGCTAAAAAGATTCTCCCCACCTTTCCTGTAGGCCCCCTTCAAGTACTGGAAGGTCGCAATAAGGTCTCCTCGCAGCCTTCTCTTCTCCAGTCTGAACAGCCCCAACTCTCTCAGCC